GCTGGCAGATGTGTTGCTGGTACCTGATGTGGCTGTTGAGCCGTGGTATAGAATCACAGCATGGTTTGATTTGGAAGGGACTTTAAAGTTCATCCAGTGCCATGGCAGGGACACCTTCCACTATTCCTGCTGGCTCCAAGCCTTGTCCAGCCTGGCCCTGGACACTTCCAGGGATCCAGGGACAGCCACAGCTTCTCTGAGCACCCTGTGCCAAGGCCTCATTACCCTTGCAGGGAAGGATTCCTTCCTAATTTCCCATCTAACCCTGCTCTCTGTCAGTGGGAAGCCAATCCCTGTGTCCTGTTCCTCCATCCCTTGTAAATAGGGAATAAATCCCTCTCCATCTTTCTTGTAGGCTCCCTTCAGGTACTGGAAAGCCACAATTAGGTCACCCTGGAGCCTTGTTTTTTCCAGGCTAAACAATTCCAGTTCTCTCAGCCTTTCCCTGTGGGAGAGGTGCTCCATCCCTTTGGCTGTTGGACAAGGAAGGTGGCAGTGGAGATGACAGCAAAGGGGACAGCCTGTGCTGTGTCTCTTGTACTTTTGAGGCGTTCATTCTTGCACACGCAAGCTTCAGCACTTGTCCTGCAGCAGAAGTGTCAGGATGTAGCACTTGTGGATGAAATATTCCATAGTATTGATTCTGAAGCAGTGCAGTCCAGGGAATGGGGAAATAGAAGTTACTCTGGGCTGAAACATGAATTCCTCTCTGTGTCTCTCTCCCAGCATTACAAATTGCAGACAAAAGCATCTCACCAGAGTTTGCATCATGCTAAATTACTTTTTTTTTTTCCCCTCTTTTTTTTTTCTTTGTTAAAGGGATATTAAAGCTGGAAATATTCTTCTAACAGAACCAGGTCAGGTGAAACTCGCTGATTTTGGGTCTGCATCTATAGTTTCCCCTGCCAACTCTTTTGTGGGAACGCCTTACTGGTGAGTGAAGCCTGCAGTGCTTTAGTCCTTTGTAAAACTGCTCTCTTCCCTTTCCAGTGCTTCACAATAAAATATACCTGGATAAAAATCTTCATTGGCCAAGGAGTTTTCCTGGCATCCCTGTGTCCAGATCTTCATCTTCAGGAAGTGTGTCCTTGCTCAGGGTCTATAAGGAGAGGTTTAGGCTGTGCAGTGCTTGGAAATGGCTCCATTCCTGCAATGCCCTTGGCTTAAAAATACCTCACAGCTGCCACAGGTGATGGGATTGAGACATTCATGGAGAAAGGGGGTCCTGTTAGTCTGACTGGAAGTCACACAGCTATTTCAGCCCTGTTTTGAAGGAACTGCTGAAGGGTCACCCGAGTTCCTTGGCACTCCCAGCACTGAGGACCAGCACAGCTCCACGCTCCACTGATTTTGTGGCAGAGGCCCCAGGCAGTGCTGGGAGGTCACCATGGCCCAGCCTTGCAATGAGGCCGTTTGGCAGGAAGCCTTTTTTTTTGAAGAATACTATTTAAGAGGCTGGGCCCGCTGCTTCTCTGTCCCCACTTCATCCCCTTATCCTGGACCAAGTCCCCTGCTGTTCCAAATTTCCCTGTTCCATGCATAGCTGCACCCACAGGCTGCTTTTGTCTCCTGGAAATGCTCCTGGTGTGCCAAGGGGAAGCCTGGGGGAGGGTGCAAGGGGTGCCTCTAGGGCTTT